CTTTCTGTGGTTGAGAGTTTAAAGATAGCCAAGTATCATATATGCCTATGGAACAATCTTTGTAACGAAAATCCAGGTGATCTTCATTAAAAGCAGGTTTTTTTTTCTTTTTTAAAGACCTGAGTTCCTTCGACTGATAGATTTTGTTCGCACCAGTCAGTTAACCTTCTTTCCAGCAATTTACACCCGAAGTAATCCTATAATGTTTTCTGCAGGCGTACGATGGTATATTCCAGTACTGTCTTAGAAGAGTTAAAGAGGCACCTAGAATAACCCATCTATAATTAAAACAGTAACTATCAACTTCTTCCAAATCTTCGGCGTATTCTTAAGTTCCAAGTTTATCAATCAGATGACTTCTTGAATCGAACAGTGCATACAGTCGTTAGTTTTATTTTTGCCGGAATATTCCTTCCTCCTTCGTTATACTAATTGCCTCCAAAGCCTCAGGATGGTCGAGGGTGGGTGCCTTGCGCTGCGGGTTGGCCACCCCTCCGCACACCTCTTGAAATGCTCCCATATGACCAGGCGTCTTACATAGCCTCTCCTGAGGAAGTCCTACTCACTGCCTTCATGTGGCGGAGGTGTTTTTCACCAAAGTGAGAGGGCGAAAGCGGATGCCCGGCGCTCTTCACCGGGTTGACTGCCCATTAGATGACAGTCTAGGGGAGATGGCTAAACCCTGATTCCAAACCTCCAACGACTGGCGTATGAAGATCACTGGAGCTCACCGGCAGACGTATGGACAAAGGGCTTGTTGGATGTCTGGCCCCATTCAAAAAGGCGTATGAACCGAACTCCGGTCACCGGCTGCCAATGGATAGTGGACTCCCTACTCCACTCCTACTGCCTTGTAGGTCACATTTGGTTGTGTAAAGGCTAGAGCTGCACTCTCAAACAAAAGGCCGAGCGATTCTGGGGACATCACTCGTACCAAATTCCCATGAAACTTCATGAACTCTCTTGCATCAGATCGCCGCGCCTGGGCAGCGATGATTCGAGATGTTCATGAAGCCGGCTCATCCTCCCGTAGGAGATAGCCGAAGTAAAGTAAAGTAAGTAGCCTCATCTTATAACTACAGCTGTTACTTCGCCTATTGTATTGTTCCGAATAATTTCAATAATTACTTCATTTTAACTAGTATATATTTCGCTTTATCATATAATGCCTCATTTGTTCACCTTTCTACTAGTTGTATAGACCTCTCTGAGTTGTACATTTTCTGTGAGTGATTTTGCATGTTACATAACCCATATTTTACCCTACAATGAAATCGTCCTCATCACTATGAGTGTTGTTGGTTCAAATTTTCTCAAGCTGACAAAGGTTTTCCAATTATGTGACGAATGAACAATTTTTTCATGTATAATCCCCATCCAGACATTGATGAAAACAAAACACGTAGTTCAGCGAAGAGTCTCTTTTCGGCGAATTCATTTTCTTAGCTGTACAATCGCAAATATATATGTGTTATTTTGTATGTATGTGTACATTAAGTTTATCAAACAAAAATACAATTGGTTGTAGTTATTTTAACTAAACAGGTAAAGATTGGTTGTTGGAGTTACGCAATACAAAATCAGTCAAGAAAATTAGGGTAGTAACAAAGGTAATGAGTTGTCACAGACAGTTGTTAAAAGAAGTTATGTAATAATATGAATTGTTTGATGAGTGAGTTTTACTCAGGATGCACATAGGAACTAAGTAGATAATACGAAATTACGTAAGAGTTCTAGATGAATACAAGAATTAAAAGTAATTAAAGAACAAGCAAAGAAACAAAATTAAGTTATCAAAATCAAATCAAAAAAGTTGTTTCCAAGACAGTAGAAGTGGTTGAGTAATCCTCTTTTGTATGCACAGCTATGGTTTTTCTATGTGAATGGCCAGAGCTTCAGCGATACAAAGAAGACGAAACCGTATTGCCTTTGATAGGTTATTCTTGACTCTGTAGATTACTTTGAAGGAGGCGTTTGTTGAAATGGAATGATCAGTGTTAACCAGGTGTTCGATTATCGCACTCCTTATTGCACCACTATTGCCTTTTCGTAACCATGCTGGATAGTGTTCTATAGAAAATCAACTCACACAGATCAAATACTGAATTATAACAGCAACAATCAAATAGCACACAAGAGGAATTGCATACAAACACTATTCAAGAGGGCCAGGACTCATTGCAGCACTCCCACCTTAAGGAAAACTGAAGAAAGATATCTCATGGACGTCTTCCAAAAGAATGGATATCCAAGGAATTTCATCAAAAGACATATACCCCCAAGCCAACCTATCAAACCAAAAGCCCCCAAAGAAAGTCGCCCTGCCACATATTAAGGATGTATCAGAAATCACTGCAAGACTCGTCAAACCTTTAGCAATTGACGTCGCACACAAACCAACAAAATCACTTCACTCAGTTCTATGTCAACCAAAAGACTCAATAGCGAAAGAAGATAAAACCAACATCATCTACAAAATAGATTGTATCAACTGCGAAAAACACGACATTGGCCAAAGTGGACGTCCCCTTCGTCTTCGTATCCACGAACATAGGCTAGCTGTCAAAAGACATGACATCCACTCCCTCATATCACTACATACAGACAACCACGGACATCAATTCGAATGGGACAATGTTCAAATATTAGACAGAGGAAACAACAAGAATGCTAGATAATTTTTAGAAGCTTGGCATTCCAGTGAATCATCAATCAATAGAAACATCGAGGTTGACAAAATCTATCAACCGATAAGAAAGAAACCTCACACACAAAGGGTCAAAGTTCAAGTCAAAGAAACAATCAGTTCCAATACAAGTAGCCTGGAAGGTGTGGAAACGCACAAAAACAACCAATCACGTCCAAGGTCACCAGGAAAGATGATTAATGAACTCGTGGAGAAATCTAAAAGCTCACTTCAAATTGAAGTATGCGCTGAAGATGTCACCTGGTAGGGTGATGAAAGCTTCGCAAATTAACTATCCAGCTCAGAGAACACAACCACATCAAAATCATCCACCTGAGCTACAAATCTTCTACATCATATCTATAACCAACTGTATTTTTGTTTGACAAACTTAATGTACACATACATACAAAATAACACATATATATTTGCGATTGTACAGCTAAGAAAATAAATTCACCGAAAAGAGACTCTTCGCTGATCTACGTGTTTTGTTTTCATTAATGAACAATTTAACAATAAATCTCTTAAATGCACATATGCTACAGTGGGAATTACGGAAATGTAGTTTGAAACCAGAAACATGATTTTTTTATTTTTGATTACAGCTTGATGCCACACCGTATTTTCAGTACAAGTATGGAATTTTCAGCATGGATATCGGTAGCCCAAATTTTGCAGGCCGACCATAGATATCGGGTGTGCGTTGGCAGGGGATCGAACCCCGGACCATGTGCGTGGTCGGCGAGAATCATAACCACTGTGCCACCGATATTAATGTGATAGTAATGTCCAGAGACAAATTATTACAGTTGTACATTTCGCGTGCCAGTTGTGAATAAGAACTCTTTTCAGGTTACTATTCTTCCTCTCGTATATTTCTGCCCATCGTATTTCTTTCTCACCACTCTTTTGCCTACCTTTGTTTGCCACATGGAGTGTGGCAACTCGAACTGTTGCACTTCTGTGCAAAGTTCTATATTGAACATCAACCAGTCAGAATGAGAAATCACATATGACTATAATAATTTTTTACTATACCGGTCAACAAGGGTTAAATGTGATGATATAGTCATTTTACGAGTGAATAGTAATTCATACAACTAAGATTTTATCTGTACATAATAGTATCGGTATATTTTCAGTTGTACACCAAATGTTAATTATATCAGTTATATGCTCAGTAATATCGATTTCCTATAGGGTCATTTATGTGTCCACCTAGTTACACAGATATCATTCAACATGGGGATTTTCGGCTTACTATTATTATCATTGAAACCACTTTTATTGAAAATGAGAATCTAGATTGTTTCTAGCCAGTCACTTAACACAATGATATGATAAAGTAATGTATGATCTCTTGTGAAACTATTCAAACACGCAGGAATGATTTGCTCATGATGTACATAACGAAACAGAAAATGTATTGACATAACTTAAAAGGGAAACATTATACAATAGCTTTCTAGAATACGCAGTGGTTATACAAAAACAGAATCAAGAGGTGTGAATAGTTTAGAAACAGAAATCTGGTGGATACTATGTTAGGTTAAGTTCATCGTTGTATGGGGGAAACGGCACTTATTGTAAACTTTCGTCCTCTTTTTGCAACTATCTAATTTCTACTTGTTTAAAGTCAGTATCGTTTTACCCGTTGATTGATTGGACCGAAATGTTTGGCGTCTGTTGGCATATTAGCCTTTAGTACGAACGCTTCGACGATATCCGGAATTAACATGGTGGATGGTGACTAGCAGTTGGACCCAGCCTGTCGATTTCATCCTACTTGCAGCTCGTCAGTTGGGTCTATCTGTAGTCTCCAGTGGGTGATACTGTCCCCACTGAGACTTGAACACAACACTTATCATTTCAAACGCCAGAGCGTTACTCACGATAACCACTTCTTGCGCAATAGGTGTCACTTATTACTTGTCTATGTCAAATATGCTTTTTCCGTCGACCGGTTGGGAACACAATTATGAGCGATAATTTATGTTCGAAACCACCATGTAACGCCAAATGTCCGGTTGTGCGCAATGAGCAGGCAATGCACTTCATAAGACGCAATTCTTTGACGTTGAAATTGTTGCGCCGTATTTCACTGTGCACGCAGTCAGAAACCCATCAGTTTTTGAAGACAAGAAATCATCTAGATTGGCGATGAAATGTTTGTGTGGGATGCTCAGCTCGATTTACACTGCATATCGGACGTAAGAATGTTAATACCCTACCATAAATGGCATACATAGCCAGTTCACTTCTACACAATCGAATGAAAACCCCGTATTATGAAAAAGTAAGAATACTGTTAGACTGATTTCATTACAATGTATATTTAGCGAAAACAGACTAAATACAATGCAGTTTCATTGCAACATAGAATTCCACGTTAGTGCAGTTATGGAATTACTAGTGACAAGCAGTTGATACCGAGACCACAAACACGATAAACTTGAAAAGTGTTCTAAACATTTCGCCATCATGTACAACACCACATATAGAATTATGTAAATCACATTACAAAAGGCAAAAAACCATTCCCAGTAATCCATAGGGAAAATAACAATAAATATCACGTTGAAATGTGCAGAGTTATATTTTATTGACCAGTTCGAAATATCAGTAGTCAGTTTCAGGTTCATCTGTAGGTAAAAAGTGCTGATAAAATCCGTGCGTCAAGTCAACCATTAAATCTGGTGTACACTCAGGAAGTTCACCAATTAAACGACCAGGTGAACCACCGAATATACTAAAAGGAGGTACAACTGTTTCTGGTGGCAACACTGTATTATCTCTTAATGCACAAGCATCTTTTAGTACACAACGTCGACCAATAACACAATTTTTACCGATATGTACATACGAGCCAATTTGTGCTGCGTTGACAACAGAATCCTCTTCAATGAAAACATTATCCCCGATATGAAGGGGGAAAAAGGCAACACCTTTGCTAAACTTTTTAAACGGTGGTCGGATAACAGCTTTACGACCAATAACACAATGTCTTCCAATACGAATGTTGGCCAAATCACCTCTTATGATACAACCGGACATAATTATTGTTTTTCCATTTAATACAATATTTTGACTTCCACACAGAACAGATCTTCGACTAACTTTGTTTCCACTAGCTGTTTCTATGTACTGTGACTTTGAATAGAATACATCTTGGAGCTCCATTTATCTAAAATTGTGAAATAAATAGTATTATTATAATTGGAGAGTTTCAAAAGAAAGAAATTATTACGAATTGTGTGAGATCTTATGAGTAATAGTCAGACTAATATGCTATTTCACTTATTTACAACCATACTAAGTGATAATTGACAATATTTTATATTTAAAACGTCATCCAGTAAATGGTACTATTTCACTCAGTGATATATATATATATATATATACATGCGATATTTCATGGTTTTATTTTGGTAATACCTGTAATAACTTTGATGGCCATAAGCAATACAAGTCAGTTTGCGAATATAAGCCAATACACCGATAGCTGCTGTTTAGACGTAGTAGATGGGCTTGTAGATAACAATAACCCGACGTGCCGTGTTACCTGTAACGAATGTTCCTACAAATCATTTGGATAATACTTACACTAAAAGCAGTTGCCATCATAGTGTAAGCCATTAACAATACGTTGTGAGTTTGAAGGCGAAGTCATATAACTGTTGAGTAGGGATGTAACAGATATAAGATGCTTCCGTCAGACGACCAGATGGTCAGCCATGCTGCCTTTTCTTTCTGCGGACAGTTGTGAGATTAGAAATGGTCGATCCCGAAAGTTTTACATTCCAGCTTACATTGCGATGGCCTGTAGCCGGCGATAAGATAGTCATACGAACAAAACTCCAAAAACGAATTCAAACAGGCCATGTGAGATCGGCTTTTAACCGTTGTCTTTTGGAATATCTGTCTATGTCTCACTAGTACTTTTTCTGTTTCAAGTAGTTCAAGAAGAGTTCAACTCTGAAGGTATAGGCAACCGGTAAGTGATAATCACCCACACACTTTCATAAGCTTACAAAGATCTCGTATTCATTAGTTGGCATACGGCTTTCAATATGTTGATCTTAGAAGTTCAGCCTTTCATCATACTGCAAGACATAAAATTGGTTTGACGTTTAAACAACTGTTTCGAGCAATGATACAAACTCAAGTATCATTTTTTCAAATTTTATTCCTTTACGTTCCTAGAGGAATACTGGACTTCGGGCTGAAGCTTTGGTGGTTTTATTTTTACGGAGTGGTGTTGCTAACCTTACGCCCAATCTTTCTTCTTTACCGGCCAAACTACAGGCTTAGAAGGGGTTTAGGAGTGCGTCGGCTGGGGATCGCCTCCCCCCCGGAGCACATATGTGGTTGACGAGCACTCTATCACTGAACCACCGACGCATAAAGCTTGAGTATCATATGAACTCAATTGACACATAATTCCTACATATTTTTATCTTTTCATCTCGTTCATGTGGTTACTAGTGTTGGTAATGGAAACTTTCGTGGTACTGATCAGGACATCTCTAGTTAAAAAGTGAACTATGTTAACTGTTACTAACATTTTTGTGCAGCATGAGTTGAATTTAATCTACTACTTGAATATACTTTAATAGTTTTATGCTAGATAGTTCCTTTATTCATGTTTTTTTATCTGTTATCAAAAAATTCTAGTAACTTTTAACGTACACCAACGCCAACATTTTGTGTATTCCCAATAATCACTATCGTGACAATCAATTTCTATATGTTTTGCTTTAACCGACGTAAATGACACTCAGTAAGACGTGGTTAGTATTTGCGACCAAGCCCGGGAAGGCAGCAGGACCAGACGGAATTCCCCCACCCTGAATCACTGAAAACGGACCCAGAGACTGCAGGAGATAAGCTCACGCCATTATTGGAAACGGTTTGGAAAGAAGGAAAGGTACCTACCGATTGGAAAAAAAACCCATCTCCTCAAGTTGCCAAAGAAGGGCAACCTAGGCCTGTGCAAGAACTGGCATGGAATCATGCTCTTGTCCATGCCAATCAAAATACTAAGTCACATCATCCTGGAGAGAATAAAGAATGCACTGGATACAGAACTTCGTCTGCTCGAACAAGCTGCATTCACTAAAGGCAAAATATGTACTCGTCAAAATGCATCTCTACGCATCGTCACCACAGAGCAAAGCATAGAATGGCAGTCAAACCTCACTCCACCTCAACTTCGAAAAGGTCTTCACCAGATAACGTTAACCGAAAAGTTATTTGGAAACTAATTTAACACTACGTTGTGAAGTGCCCAAGTCATTATCAACCTCATTCAGCAGCTATATGACAATACCACGTGTCAGGTGATCCACGGCGGAAAACACAGTGAAGACTTTTCAGTGAATACAGGAGTAAGACAGGGCTGTCTATTGTCACCGATGATATTCTTAATCGTAGTGAGCTCGATGATGCATCAACTGTGAGTTGGTAGCGAGGAGACAGGAATACGCTGGACCACCGATAAGAAGACTCTAGAAGATTTGGATTTCACAGATGATATATATCTAGTGTCATACAAACTCGAAGAGTTACAGGCAAAAACCAACAAACTGGCAGAAGAAGCAGGCAGCGAACACAGGACTGCAGGTGAACATAGAGAGGACGGAGGTGGTGAAGAAAACCACCCACCAACAGCAAAAGCAAGCAGCAGCAATCACCATCAGCCGGAGAGATTTAACAGAGGTTACCTACTTCACTTATCTAGGAAGCATCGTTTCAACTACAGACAATCGGAACGGATGAAGATGTCAAAGCCAGTCAGAATCAGAAAGACAAGATACGCCTTCATCAACCTGAAACTAGTTTGAAAATCTTCTGCACTCCACCTCAGTATAAGGAACAATATTCGGATTTTCAACACCAATATCAAGTCGGTCCTTCTATACAGATTAGAAACTTGCACTGCGTGTAACGAAACGGATTTCTAACAGTTTGCAGACTTATCAACAGCTGCCTTCGCTGGCTCCATACTGAAGATCAAATGGCCGGCCAGAAAGAATAAGTAACAAGAAACTCTGGCCTGGAAAAAAAATCAACCAAGAGCCGATCGCTCAATAAATATGTAGGAGAAAATGTAGATGGATAAGGCATACATTGAGGACGCCGCCAAATGACATCGTACAACAGGCCCTTGAGTGGAATCCCGATGGGAAGCGACTAGTGGGTCGTTGGTGCGAAGGTAACATGGAGGAGATCGTGTGAGGAAGAGATGGCAGTTTGGACAATCATGGACCCGGTCGAAGAAGATGGCAGAAAATAGAAAGTGGAGGTGTGCTGTTGAAGCCGTATGTTCCACTCGGAACCCAAGGGAATAATAATAATAACAATATTTGCATGGTTAACTGTTAATTTCTGACCCATAGACTTCCATCATATTGACGTCAGCACCAAACAGATTCACTAAAGTCTTTTGAAATTTCGGATGACTTAGGTCCTTAAAACTTATGGGTGGCAATTATGTATGAGCCCTTCAAAACAACATCTGAGAATAACTATCCAGTTTTAAATTGCTTATCTATTTGATAAGCTGAAGAATGAATGGGAATATAAACACTAAAATACAGGTTTTTTAACCATTTATTTACTTGCATGTATGATGCGCTGGGTGAATAATGCCACCAGTACATAGCTGACTGCATATATGCTATAGCATGCTTTAGGAATTATGAATAAGCGGGTTTATACCACTTCGAAAAGCACAGTAAAAGCTGTAACTCAATATCTACACAAGTCGCTAATTTATGATATGGTGTAGTGTGGTGAAGGATTGTAGTGACTTACAGTTAGCTGCGACATCATATTTAGAGCGACTCGATAATTTAAAAGAGTCAAATATTTTCTTCAGTCAAAATTAACAGCCATCACTTTGCAGTATTTCTGTTGTTAGCACAGATGGTACGAAACGACGTGATTCACTCCGATAGGATGTTTTTTCTGTGGTAAGTAACATTCACTTACTGAGGCAGTTACCTCGATAATGCCATTATTATAACGATTACGGTTTTATTCTAAATTTTGCGGTGAATTTTGTTCGTGAAATCAAACAAAAATCCAAATCTAGGTACATAATAATTATTCCAATATGGGGATTCTGTTGATCTAACGTAGCAATTACTTGTAGTTAACTTTCAGAAATAGAGCAGGATGCCCACCATTTCGGTCAGTGTTTCCCTGAGATTTAGTTCGCCTTATTTTTGGTCCATCAGAGCACATTTTTTAAACATTATTGATAGAACACTCCAGACTGTATGCCGCCAAAATGTCCCCCAAATAAAAAACTTTGGGGCGATTTTGAGGTGTTATGCGGCAACTAAATGCAGACATTTTCACAGAATTTTGGGGGAACGCCTCCTTTTTCCGCTAAAAGCCTCAACATCGTCCAAAACGTTTCTATTTGGGTCCTATTAAGGACCATGCTCCTGCATATTATTACTAAAAATTTCATTTTGGAACAGGAAGTTTAAAATGCTTTTGCAGTGAATGAGTTGCAGTACAAAAGTCAAAAATATGGATGTCCACAAGTGTATATCAAACTTTAGATTCAGAAAACCAACTAACCTTATCAAAATTGTGAACTAAGTAACGTAGCTTACAGAAGGCGCGCGTTTTTACTGTGGAATAAGGATTCCCCAGCTTTTCAGATTATAACTCACAGCGCACTTGAACGTTTTTTTACTGTTTTGTGGAATTGCTGTGTCTAAGGATATTACGTGGTTTTTCAGATGCAAGGGTGAAGGTAAACTATATCAACCAGCCCGGTACATGACTTTTGATTGTCATTTGGAGTTACTTATGGTATCATAGATTTCAGATTTATTGGTTGGGGAAAGAAGGCTTGGAGCCTATGTTAATCCATTTTTAGCGAATTTCTGTGCTTGTTCAAACCCTTCTTGAATGAATCAGTTGAGGCTGCAGACGCCACTTCTTCTGCGAGTCGCTTCCAGGGGCTTATGACTCGGTGTAGGAACCAGTACTCCACAGCAGTATGATTTCTTCTTGTCTTTTGAACTCTGTTGCTATGTCCTCTGAGGTGTTTTGATTCGTAAAAGAGAATAGGTCAGGTCCGTAGTCATTATTTAAACTTTTAAACATTGTGGTTGAATCTCCTCTCTGCCAACGGTATGACAGGGAGAAGAGATTTAAACTGTCCAGTCTTTCCTCGTGTGATGAGTTAGTCATGTCGAGAATCATACGTGTTGCTTTCCTTTGAACCCTTCCTAGAATGTGTGAGTCCCCTTTAAGACAAGGACTGGCTTCCTGGATGCAGTTTTCGAGTCTTGACCTCATCGGAGATGTATATGAGGAGGTGGACATATCTCTGGTGATTCCAGTAAAGCTCTGCGAATTGCCCATAAGGATCTGAAACTATTTGCAGCCACCGCGCGACAGTGTGCTGTAGTTTTTAAATCGTGGCTTACTATGATACCTAAAACCAAATGAGTGTGAATTGATGGGAGTGTTATTCCCTCTAGATCGCAGGAGCTAATGCCTCCGTGTTCAATGCGCTGGTTGAACATTTTGCTACATTGATCGGGAACATCCATTCTCTGGACCACTCTGACAAATTGTTAAGGTCCTCTTGCAAAGTGAGCGTATCACTGTTGCCTTTCACCTCTGTCCGAATTTTTAAGTCATCTGAATATAGGACGACGGAGGAATCGGTGAGCAGAGATAACTCATTGATATACAAAATAAATAGGAGAGGTCCGAGTACCGTGCCTTGTGGCACTCCGCTTCGTACTGCTGTCCAAGAGGAGAGTTTCGAGTTGGTGCTAACCCTCTGCCTCCTATCCATGAGAAATTCCCTGGGCCAGTTGAGTAATCTGCCTTTGATACCAAGACTTTCCAACTTCATGAGTAGTCTTTTGTGAGGTACTTTATCAAAGGCTTTGCTGAAGTCTATGAAGACGACGTCAACTTTTTTTGTTGTCCCTTGATTTGATCCAGCTTTATCTTGCAGTGAGAAGATTTGACAGGCATGAGAGATTCCTTCGGAAGCCATGCTGTGCTCTGGATAACATTTTGTTGTTTTCCAGACATGCCATGATACTTTTCTTGATGATTCTTTCCAGTGTCTTGATTAAAGTGTCAGTGAGACTAGTGGGCCTGTAGTTTGTAGGGCTTTGTCTTGATCCTCCTTTGTGGATGCGGGTTACTATGGCATCTCTCCAGTTACGCGGTAACACTCCATTTAGGAGAGATAGCTTGAAGATCGTGGTCAATGGGCTGGCTATGCGAGGTGATAGCTCCTTGAGAAGCCTCGGATGAAGATTATCAGTGGTCAGTGATTTCCCTGCATCTAGTTTTAATAGGCAGTTGAGCACGATGTCTTGTTCGACGTCAACGGAGTCTATCCTGATGGATCCAGAGCTCACCCTATGGGGAGTAGCGACTCCTGTGTAAAGGCTTGGGAGAAGCAGTCTTCCATTGCTTCTGCTTTTTCTTGATCTTCTTCGACTGTGTCAATGTCAACAGTCAGGTTTGGGACACCATTGGATGTTTTATTTCTGAAGTTCATGTACGAGAAAATTTTCTTAGGTTGTGCCTTTGCATTTTGAGTCAGGCTTGCTTCGACCTTCATCCTTGATTGGCGGATTTCTCCAATAGCTTTGTTCTTAGTGGTGTCGTATAATCTACTGGTCTCGAGGGTCTAAAGTGTGGCAAACAGGTTCCAACATTTGTATTTATGTCTGGGTAACTTACGAATCTATCAGTTTTTCCGAGGAAGGCAATGTTTTCCCCTCTTTCGGACAGGCCTTGGGATGAAAGGTTCAGTTACTTGGGCGTAAAGTTGTTTAAATTGGTTCCACGTAGCTTCTACTTGGGACTTTGGGTTGGTGTGCCAGTTCACTGAGTTGGCTGCTGAGATGATCGCATTTATATCAGCCTTCCCAACGTTTGATCGAGCTGGGATTTTGGCTCATGATACTGCTGCTGTGAATTTGAAAGTGAGCACAACGTGATCACTTCTTCCTAGAGGAGGAAGATATTGCATAAGATCCACACCCTCACCATGGGCAGACGCTAGGTCCACGGCTGAAGGAGTGTTGTGAGTCATATCGCGTGGGTCTCATGACCAAGAACAGAAGCCCTAGACCTTGCGGAAACCGTTTTGAATCATTTATTCTTACTAAGCTATACGTCTTTAAGTGATCTGATTGAGGAACAATGCTGTTTATTTCGGGAATATGTTCAGACCTTAAAATCTGTGGGTGAACAATGCACCAAGGTGACCTAGTTTGTATTTGGGTTTTGTAATCTCATAAGACCAATTCCTAGCTGATCTGCCATGATAGGAATTAAGAAAGGAGATACATATGTTCCCATAACGGTTTGCAGTACCATAGGTAGGAAGGATGTAAGCGTTTTAGGTGGTAAATTTCAGAGGATATAGTTGGGGATATGTTAGACTACCGCCTACCAAAATCATGCGCTCGTTCAGAAGGCACATAAAGCCCATGGACCCTACTAAGGAGCACATCTTGGAGTTCGAAGTCTTGAAGTGGAACAGGTAGTCACCTACTTTAAAGTTTATAATGCAAACAATTGATGCAACAAGACGTTTGCAAGTGGCTTATGTGATCCTTACACCATTTTTCATCTCATCCTAAATGAATTAACCCCAGGTGGCTGAGAGAACTTCATAAGCTACATATATTTCATTTGTTGCGACACATGGAGGAAGAGGAGTACGTTCTAGGAAACTGCAAAATGGCATAAAGTACAATTATGGTTAATACATCATTGGAAGTACACTTGCAGCATACAAGGAGGTGGTGACTCCTTGGAATGATAGTATACATTTGCAGTGCTTAATACTAACCATATTGGTCTTGGCATGGAAACCATGACGTTTTTAATGAAAATATAGCCGTGCTCAAACACTGGTGTTGTTGTTTTCATCAAAGCAACCAGACTTTAAGCAAGCAACGAATATGGACAAAGAGTAAGTGTTAGGTTTAATAAAGGCCAAGATGTTTGAGATCAAATGGAGTATAATAGTGTGCAAATAAAAAGATGATCGTGAGGCATGTGAGTCATATAATAATAATTTATATTTTCAGTGAGATGTGAATTCAAAGATCTGGAAGGTTAGAAGCCATAGGACAACCTGACCTGTAAGATGTCTCACAATTTTCTGTAGTGGCAAGCACAAGTCATTCGACTCTAGTACATGACTCACCATCTCCAGTATAACCTCAAAGGGGCCCCATGGAGTCCACTGAATTCGGCACCATTTGCCTTAAATCGCGATTCGCTGTTGGGCGATTCATCACTTTACCTTAATTATCGCTTGCACGATAGTTTGCAGGGTGTCGTCCGATCACTGACTCCGGACAAGTCTTTCTGGGTCCTGCTCTAAGGCGTTCACACCACATGCTGTTTCAGGTAACCCAATCTCTTCAGATATTGATAAAATATCTGGTAACACGTTCTCCTCCCTTGCAAGCGCAGCATCCACCGTGACAACTTCCCACGTGGGTCTCTGGTGGTTCTCAACCACTGCAAAGGCTTATGATCAGTCTCTACGTGGAAGCGTTGATCAAGTAAATAGGGTCTCCATTTGTCTAGCGACCACACAGTCACCAAACATGCCTTCTCAATTATTGAATAATTCCATACCTTGGATGTTGAAACACGGCTGGCGTATTCGACGACCACGTCACCTTGTCTGAGTACTGCGCCTATTCCGTAGTCGCCGGCATCTGTAGACACTATGAACGGCCTTCCCGGCGCTGGTAGTCGTAGCGTCATCCTCTTGTGATCCATCGGCTGTTTGATGCGGTCAAATACACTCTGCGAGTCTTCTTACCAGACAAACTTTGGGTCGCCTAACAGCCGGTAGAGTAGAGACGCTCGCTTGATGTAGATTTATACGAAAGGGCTTTAGAATGCTGCTCTCCCCCAAAACTGTTTCCATTTTCCCTTCGAACTTGGGGGGCTCAATGAACCTGATTATTAAAATTTTTTCAGCAGCCGGGTTGTCTCACAGCTCCCCAACTTACGCTCCGAAAGCGTAACGTTCTTTTCACCAATCTGAGATTTCGCCTTGTTGGTGCGTAAGCCGGAATCTTCGGTGCGTCTTAAAACTGACTCCACATGCTCTACGTGGTCATTCTGGCTCGTGCTGCATATTACTAGATCACCTCCATAAACTTCGACGTTCCTCAAATTTCCAAGCAGCAGCCTCATTAATCGTCTATCCGTAAACGAAGCACCTGCCAATCCAAAAGGCATGCGTTTAGACCGATACTGTTTCTGTCTCACGAAGAACGCCGCCTTAACTCTATCTCCTTATTTTATTGGCAGTTGCCAGTACCCAGATCGCAGATCTAAGACTGTGAACATCTTTGCACTTTGTAAGCTATCTAAAGTTTTGCTACGGTTGGCATCGTACACGGTCTCAGCTCTGTTATGCTGTTCGAAAATCAATATAAAATGTGCATTTCCAATCGCTTTTCTACACTAATAGCACTGGAGAGCTATATGGGCTATCGGCTTCTTCAATAATGTCATCCTTCAACATATCTTCATTCTGTCTTGCAGTCTCGCTTTCTGAATGACACAGAACTCTTCAAGTTACGAATGGCCTCACTTTCCCACTGGTCACTGGAATTTCGTGCCCCACTTTATACAGTAACCGCACGGATCTCTATCTCCAGTGAAAAGATGGTCGTACTCGCTAAGTAACTTTGCCACAC